TATTTTTATAAATTTTTAAAAATGTAGTTGTCATTGTTTTTGTTAACCTTGTGCTCGAGTGCTATAGTAACACTTTTGTGCAAATAAAATAGTGTGCAGAAGCTGATCCCGCAGATTGAGCCCGCATCGACTGTAGCTCTATGTTCTTGGTATTAACACTGTCAGAAAAACACACAGGGTGGATGAGAGGCGACAACCATCTTTAAATGTTGACAAACAGGCAAAGTTGATAATGGTGTTTTTAGGCAAAGTAGGAAATAGATATTTTATTATCTATTTTAGGCAATATATAGACCTCCTCATGAAGCCTAAATGTAACCAGTACTACAGCTGGACTGTAAACATAGCACCAAGTAGAGATCTCACAATGTTGGATTTTTGCATTACAATTATTTTGAGAAAAAAACCTACCATATTTAATAATTATTTATGATCATTGACCCCATGACCAAAAGGTGAAATCCCAAATGTTCTTTCATTTCTGTAATGTTACAGTATGTAGCCTGGTTTATTAAATCAGACTATCTGAAGGATAAAGTAAATTTGAGGTGGCATAAAGATAAAAACACCTGTCTAATAGCAAAGGCAAATTTGTCTAATAAACTAATAAAGAAGTCTAATAAAGAAACATATAAAACATGAGAAAAGGAACCAAAACTTAGGTATTACATAAACTTTTGTTATTGGAGATTATCGCAAATTTTTCTTATATTATTTCATATCGTTATAAAACTTGGCCATATCCCCCTGCTCTAGTTGGGTGTGGGAGGGGTGTTCCTTTGTTCTCCTGCCGAGCCCCAGTATGGTGTATTTGATATAACAGCAAGGTCACACATTGAAGATGTAATTAAATTGTTATCTGCAACAAGGAAATCAATGAGCTCCGTCATTACATGTCATGGTGTCAAAATTTCAATTTGCTTCAGAAGGTTAAAATCACATTTCATGCCTGTGACCTGAATCATTTAAGTGATAAAGTATGCTTCCAGTTTACAGTTGCAGGATTTAAACACATTTAGACCATCACCTTCTTCATATGCGTCTAAGCTTCAGCCAGTTAAAAACACCTGTGGTCTTCTAGATATCTGAAAATCTTTCTTCTCTTCTCAGTACCACCACATTAACGGTCTTTTGGTCTTTGGTCATTTGTCACATTATCGTATGCCTATTTCAACCTTTTTTAAATATAATTTTATTTTCACCCCACAAACAAGTAAGCTAATAATTATTAAGTGAACAATATATTCGAAAAAAGCTTGTCTCTTTTACTTCAATAAATGAGTACCAGGGGAAAAATGTATTGAAGCATTTATCCAACCATTTATCCAATCATAGTCATCCCAGCTTGTCAAAGCCTGATCTCAGAAGATAGCTAGGGTAGTACTTGGATGGGAGACCACTGGTAATACCAGGTGTCACAGTGGAGCGTCAGTGGCAAAAACTGTCATCCTTAGGCACTTCACCTATATTTCCTAGTGGAGTGTGTGTGTTGCTGGTGGTCGGGGGGGCTGATGGCACAGATTGGCAGCTTCGCTTCTGTCAGTCTGCCACCACTGAGTGTGGAGTGAATGAACAATGAACTGTAAAGCGCTTTGGGTGTCTTGAAAGGCGCTATATAGATTCAATAATTAATTAATTAATTAATTAATTAATTAACTCTTAAAGAAGCAATGAACCGACCCAGTGAGACACAGATGAGCCCTTCCAATAATAATTAGGGGTTTTAGGAGTTTTTCAAAGCTATATAAAATGCTTCATGTCACCGATTTATTCAGTTGTTTTAATATATTTCCTCTCTTAAATGTTATGAAGCCATTGTGCAAACTGTGAATGCTTTTAGTTCTCCCTCTGCCAGATAAAATATCATAATGTAATACTTTTTTTTTTCTTTTTCAGTCAAGCCATAAATTATCATATCCCTAAAAGTCCCAGAGAAGAAAAAATCCCTTTAATAAAGATAGCTCTCCTCTGTTTTCTTTTAATATGATGGGTTTGTTTTTTGTTCAGATCTGGTGTATACAATATAAAATACAATTCTAATGCACTGTACCTCTTACCAATCACTGTATATTTAGTCAGGCATCTTAACATATAAGAGGAATGTTTTTCTTTCCTCTGCTAACCCCACTGAGATTAAGAAAGCAATCACCTCTTCACCAGTATATATTTAGTTGGAACTAATATTTTAAAAAATGCTGTGACATTGTGGTTTAAAATTGTGGCCCTGTGGAGCATCACCAGGTTTCCGTTTAACCTAAGAGGACAACTTTTCTGCAGAGAGGAAATGGACTGGATTATTCTTCAGGACACAACTCCAGACACAGCTCACTGCAATATACACTGAGTCTCACAATTCTGTCTAGACCAGAGTAAATCTGATCCTTCAGTGATGAGAAGATACTGTGCGGCCACAAGTACTTACTCCTACATTTCCAAATAAAGGTTCTTTTTGAAAGACTAGTGTGTTGTTTACAGATATCCTGACATGTTGAGACTCCTAAAGTTTTGTCATTGAATGGTTAACTGTTAGTTTAGTCTTGGTTCCTGTTTTGTCTCTTTATTCCCAGGTGAGGTGACATTTGGTCAGTATGATGATTTTGTCCAAATTGAGTGCTGTAGTGGTGCTTAAAAGGCCAATTTTGTTTTGTTTGTTTAAGGTTGTACTGAAGTATAACAAAGTGATTTTAAATATTTTTTACAGTGTTACACTAGTTTATCAAATCCACTTTTCTAATATATACAATTTGACTACAGGCTTAAAAATAGAGGAATGGTAATGGTGGTCCTCTACAGTTCTTAAATAATGAGCAGAAGTAATGTATGCAGAAGGTCTTTTGATGTGTAGCAGTGTGATACCAGGCTAACACAGCAGTGGTGTCTTGAAGCATGACCTTCTGAGTCAAATCACCAGTTTAGCACAAGTGCTATGATCCCAGACAGACTCTCTCTGCATATATCAAGACTAATGATTCCCAGCAGTCACCCATTAATGGCCATATGAAGTATGATATAGCCATCACTTTTAGACATAAAATCATAAAGCAAAAAGGAACAGGCAATGTGGAACTGCTCTGGATTGTTCAGGTTACTTCCAATTGATCGTAGTCAGATATAGTCTGGTATTGAACTGGCTCACATGAGGCCAGCCCTCAGAGGGAGGAAGAGAAGCTCAGGCTTTCCCTGGCAGTAGATAACATGTATTATTGATAGTTCAGTGGAAGAATACAATTTCCATCACATATCCATGAAATGACATTTAGCAGAAAGTAGAGTGGCTGCAAATAGTACTGAACACCTCACCATTTTATATTTATAAAGATGCCATTAAAGGTAACAGCATAAGTACACCACCCCATGCAAATAAATCAACCCATAGATGTCCATAAATTATGTTGTGAGTAATAATGTGAAAAGACCAGGGGAAAAAGTATTTGATCACCTGATAAAAGAGAGGTGCAAAAAGGCATGGAAAGCCAAGACAGGTGTGATCAATCTGCATTACAGAAGGATATCTTAACTTAAAAACTATAATCCACATGTGAAAAAAAAAAAAAAAAAGTCACTATAGAAACGGCATGATAGGGGAAGGCACTCTTGGACAGAGAGAAAATAATGACCAGACGTGTTGTCAAAGAGCCAAGGGTCACTTGTGGGAAGCATTGGAAAAAAACGGTAAGCAGCAGACACAACAAGTACTGGGAGACCATTGCTTGATCAAATGAGACCTGTTCTTAGAAGGTCAAATGCTCATCACCAAAACTACACATCTCTACAATGAAGTTCAAAATCATGTATCTCGACCAAAAGTTTGAATGTTGACTTTAGAATATGACTCTGATACTGATCTTATTTTAATTGCTGGGTTTTGTACATTGTTTAAGAGAAGTACTGTAATTAACCTGAAGCAAAGCCAACAGATTATGACACTAGCTCACAGATCAGTGGTGACCTTTGAATGTGACTGGATTTATTACATAGCTCAAATCCATTTTCCCATTGATAATTATATATTTAACATCACCCGTATCACTGAGGCCTATTGATACTTTGCAGTGACATCACGCTGGGGGTGTTCTACATGTATCTGTAGCTGATGTGTCTGATGTTCAGCATGGTGACATAATGTACACATTAGCAAACACTGCCAAAAAAGGTAAAAGATTGTCTGAAATGCAAGAAAAATACTAAATTTTAGATAATATAGATTTAAACAACACATTTTCTGAAGCCTGTGATCAATTCAAGCATTCACGGTCCTGTTTAGGAGTTTGATTTTCAACAAAAGCTGAGTGACTAACTGAAAAACTGTTGGCTAATGATAGTTAGCTTGTGACTTTAATTTTATGTGTGAGATACATGTTAAACAGTAGAAAACCAGATAATCTATTGTATATATTGTAGTTCCAGCCAAGCCAGCTGTTTGTGATTGTGTTAAAATAAAGCTCAGAATAAAGTCTAAAAAGCCTCTGATAGAGCAGTGCCTCCAGTTAGCTGCAAAGTATCAATAGGGACTGTGTCTGCTGGCTGCTGATGCTTTGGAAACCCATTTTATGAGCTGGTGGAAGTTGAGAAGCGTAACAGAAATCTGGGCATCTGTTTTCAGACTGTTGACCTAGATAGACAATAGATGGGTGTTAACTTTCATTCACAAACTTTTCCACAATTTTGCTGCTTATGTGACATTACAGGGCGAAAGGATTTGCCTAAAATCTTTTTTACTCAAACCTTCTCAACATGCCTGAAACTTACACCTCGTTTTTTTTTTACACTTTTGATTTTCAACTCCACCTGTTTTAATGAAGGCTGCTCTACTAAATACATGTCACATTGTCTCTTACTGTATTTATCATCTGCAGAAGATTATCATGAAACAGGGCTCTTTATTTCTGTCAGTACAATTGCGACTTACAAGGCTCCCTTTATAAGTGACAAAATTGTTAATAATTCTGAAAACAAAGTAAAAAAAAACAACCAAAAAACACGCAAGTTTTCCCATTTTATTCATCACTCTTTCGGTGTGTTGCAGAAATTGCTTCCCAATATCTCTAGCCTTATAATTGGAGCGTGATAGTCAGTCCACAATAACAAAGTAGTACAAAATGTGTCTAAAACAAGTAGAAATTGTGTTCCCTTTTGGCCAACAGGTTTTGACATCTTTTTATGTTTAAAAATTATAAAATTTGTGTTTGTTAGATTATGCTTTGTGTTGTCAGAATGTAACAAAGCAATAAATGTGACTGAAATGCTGCCTGAAAGCATATATCCCTTCTATAGTGCCACACAACAATGATGAACACATACGTGTGCCAAAACCTGCAGAGCTGAGCATGTGAGCTGTACCCATAAACTAAATTAGCCAGATCTCCATGATGAACATACTGATGACCCCCAGTGGACAGGTTTATCAGATGCCAGAGGCTCCAGTCTATACCTAAATGTTCTACCAAACACGAAGTATTTAATGTGCTACATGTACTCAAATAATGTGATTTTAACAGTGCAAGAGAAGCTACATACCAATTACCTTCTCAACATGACCTAAAATGTAAACTAAATCATAAATTCCCTTACAAAAATACTAATACTTTTCATTATCTATTATTATCAGAATAATACAAGAAAATATTGCAATCTGAGATGATATTGTAATAAGTGAATGTGTCAGGTGAATATGGCATAGATAAAAACAGTAGTAGTTTTCTAACCCCTCTGAGGGACATTTGTTGTCTCCTGGTTGCTATCTAGCAGCTCTTCATCGGAGAAACTGATGTGGAGGCAGGTGTCATTCATATTGGACTGTTCTGAGTCTAAGCTCAGATGTTCTGATTTCAGTTCAGATGGAGAATTACTGCTTTCTCTTCTTTCCTCAGGGGGACTTTCACAGCCACTTGTAGCAATTACAAATGTCATTCGTTCTCCAAACAGGTTGTCATCGTCACACAGGGGTGAGAACAGCGACTTGGTTTCTGAGCGCACACCAGAGTCCTCACTGGTGGAGCAGGAGCTGGTCTCTCCATTACTGAAGGAGTGGAAGTCTCCGGAGGACAGAGGGCTCGGGGTAATGTCGGGGAAGGACAGACTGCTGCAGCGGCTGGGGGCGTCATCATTAGCGCTCACCTCCAGAGGCAGCGGCGCGCAGACGGTGTCTGAACTTGGAGACAAGGTCCTACTGGCTCGTTTACGACTCATAGACGGGGGAGGAGGGTCAAGTTTGGGGATTGGACACCTGTCAAGAACATTAAAAGATATAAAACATATTATAACATTATAAATCATTAACACAAATTTGCAAAAGTTTGAGTTTACATTGCTTTGAGTTTATATTGCCTTCTATGCCATATTTATCATATTCCAGCAACTTTTATCCGATGAGATTGAAAAATCTGTCCAAAAACCATATAACAACTATATGAGAGCAGAAGTATCATTTTGAGTTGCCTGTGTATCCATGTAAATAAATTAAATTAAATTGCATTATTTCTGTATGCAAAAACACTGTAGATAATAGGACAGCTAGCACAAAACTGAGTGGCATATGTACTGATCCAGAGACTAAAGGTACCAAAATTATAGAGGAATAGTCATGATTTATAGATGTTTTCTCTCTGTTTATAGTCATTTTCTCATGAAGACAGTCAAAATAAGCCTCAAGGAACAATCTTTCTAATAGCATTCACAAAACTGCCTATAAAATGAACACAGTGTGATGTTAGCTTTCACTAGACACAAATCCTCCTCTGCGGCTACAACCTGCTGTTTTGGTCTATCTAGCAGCTTTATGCATCTCCGCAGCTCCCTGTGGAGAAAATGGGTCCTAAGGAAGTGAGAAAGAGCTGGAGGCTTAACCCTCCTTCGTGGATGACACCAGAAACACACATGCACACAGCAGAAATAAATAGCAGTACATTAGCCTCCCTGATTATACAGCAGAATACCATGATAACAGCCTGTGTGAACATCTGCCCGCTTACTACTACTCTCATGAGGGAAAAAAACAGACGAAAACCTGCTAACAAGTCCTCCATCCTATAAAGTAGATGTTCCCAGAGTTTTCTAATCACATACATACAATTTGATTAATTGAGTAGAAAAAAATATATTAAAATGGCACATTGATTAGATGAAACACAATGCATTATTCCTTATATAAGATGTCCTCAAACATCTGTTCTGCGAAGCACATCATACAATGAATACATTTACATTCAATTCTGTTCTCACAGCTATTTGTAAAAGCCTTATTGGTCTCTGATTTTTTAGTGTTGAATGTCTTTGCCTGGAACCTTTTTCTCATAAGCTGACTCAGCACTCTCCTTCTGTCACGCACTGTCCTTTCTCTCTTTGGCTTCCTTATTCATTGTTTGGCCTCCTCCTCAAGTTATATTCAAACTCTGCCAAGTAATTTTCTTATTTTATCATGTTTTTATATAGCCTCTGCTACCTGCATCAGGTGATGTTAGAACTACAGTGCATATAATAATGTAATATAATTTATAATCACTTTTTGACTTGAATTCTTTTGAAATCATGTCTCTTACTACATGGGGGGAAAATGTTTCTTCCTGAGTAGTGAATATATTTTTGTATTTCAGCCTATATCTTTGTGCCTTGCACACAGAACATTATCCATGACAGAACTACAGAATAAACATGCAAATTCCAACACACACTTATACTTTCATATATAAACCAAAATGGAGTGCAACTGGGGGTGCATTATTTCTCTCCTTCTGTCTTACCGCCACAAAAAAGTGTGGAAAACACAGTGTGGCTGTGCTGATGACATGACTCCTCTGATTAGCCAAATGCTAATATGGTTATAAATTTGCACATCAATATCTGCATTTAAATGGATCTTGTTATGCAGTGATTAGGGCCACAGACGAGACACCCACATGGTTCACTAGCACATGCCCCATGCATGCTACAGACCAGGGAGATAGCTCTGCATGCGGCACGTCATTAGTTATACTCACATAGAAGCAAGAGAGAGGGCTGTTAGGATGGAGGATATGAGGAGAGAGAGGAGCGAGCTGTGGCATGGGGCTCCCCAGGCTGGTGCAGCACATGATCAGAGGGACAGGGAGGGGGACATGATGGAGTGTATTAACTGTAGACTAAGGCAGCAGCAGGCGTATGTATGTTAGGACAGTGACAGACAGAGGGGATGGCTATATGAGAAGGAGGAAAAGCACAAAAGGGTCCTCGCACCTGTGCCAAAGAGAGGGACAAGAAGAGAATTGAATTACTATGTTTTCAAATTTCGAATTCAAAAGATTACTTCCACAAATTTTCGATAATATAATCTTTGTTTTTGAATAGGTAAAGTCCTTTATTTTTCATTATACATATGCATTGTGCAACAAAACTGCAAAGGTCAGGTAACCTGCATGTTATTGGAGGTATGGGAGATCGGACCACCCACAGGAAACCTACCCAGAAATATAATTTCTTATCTGGGAATTGAACCTTGGACTTTCTACCAGAACATCTTTTTATAGTAATGTTTTAAACAAATCCTCATCCTAAAGTGCTGCTGCAAGTTTTTTTAACTCAAACTTAACTTTTAAAAGCTTTAATATTGTTTCTGCTCTAACAATCTAAATCCAAATGTTTGATCTATTTGTAGTTTGTAAACCACTTTGTGATTTTATTTGTGAAAGGTGCTTGAAATTAATTACTTATGAGCTAGTCCAAACAAGCCCAAGTCGATTGGGAAACTATTCTGACACAGCGCTCAATTATATAATGTTAAACATATCTCACTAATGGAACAAATCTATAAACCACAGTACATGCAATGTAAAAAGGACAATAAACAGTGTCTAATAGTCCTTAATTTCACAAGTAAAAAATTATTTCTAACTTAACTTTAAGGAATAAACGAGTCTTGTTACTAGACTTTCTCTTGCACTTAGGCATGGGAAAACTCAACCCAACGCCTGCAAACATCCTTCATTATAATCACATACAATCTGTGGCAATTGAATTACTGATAAACAACGAGGTACGGGACTGGTACAGGACTGACCAACACACTATTATGATAATGATAAGACGGTGCAGTGCTATATAGGGATGGGTACCGAAAACGTACCAAAAAGGTAAAACTCACGTTCTTTCAGTGACAACTTTCGGTTCCTTGGCTTTAATGCGAGCGTCAAGGAGCCAATACATACACCGTAGCAATTTAACAGCAGCGCAGGTGCTCACGTATTATGACTGCGCCCTAAACAAACTCAAAGGCAAAAACTGCGCTCACGTTTAACGTAGTTGTACAAAACGCAGTGTCATCTTACCGATGAAACAGGAGAGATGAAGTAACAGCGTGCAGCTTGAAACTTAGATCCACCCGAAAACACATCCAATCCTTTACCGTGCCTCAAAGTGCGTAAATCCACACCTATTCAGTTTGTAGAGCCCGCGTAAAATTGAAGCCAAACAGGTAACATTAACCAAACTCCTGGTCCCAAATAAGCGAGGTAATATCCAGTGTGGAGCGTGTCTCTGAGTAAAGACGCAGCCAAATGCGTAAAGTTGAAGCCAAACTGATAATATGAACCAATACTCTGCCAAAATCGTCCTACTCCTCTTTCCAGGTAAAAGCGTAATTCACAAATGTGGTGTATATATCCACCGTGGCGCCGTGTGCGTAAAGACGCAGCCAAACGAGTTCGCGTAAAGTTCTCCATAGTCCTCTTCCTCCGTCCAGGTAACCGCGCAGTACAAGCGTAAAGTTACTTATCAAAACAAAGAGCACGTGCTTCGTGCGCTGCCTTTAATTTAAAGAGGGGTATACGAAGAAAACAAAAGTGGGACTTAAGCGCGTGTAAATCCTGCGCGCTCTGGTTCATTTGTATGCGCATTTGTATGAAGTTGTAACTGAGCATCGTATAGTAGCATACTCTGTTTTAATATATGAATTAACGTAGTTAGAAAGTAATTCAAGGATTGAAAAGTACTTTATTAATAATACTGGCCATTAATTTCAAAAAGCAGGTATTGTTAAAGTACTGGTATCGAAAAAAAATCAAACGGTACCCCATAATTAAAACCAATACCGATCTGTCTTTGCCTTTCTCTGAAGTCAATTACCTGCGTATAATTACTTCTGAAGTGTATCTATAGACACAAAGGGATTGGTCTATTATTAAAGTCAAACATTATAATCCATATTTTGAATTGTCCTATAGAGCGTCAATTTGTTAAGGGAGGTAATAAAGCGAGAGGGAAAAAAGGTATCTGCCTTCTTGTGCAAGGAACATAAAATAAAGGCCACTCAGGCAGTAAACATTGATTCGCTGGGGATATCCTGAAAACAACACCAAATGGAGGCAATAAAAATGTACCATGATGTGGTAGAAAGTACGAGGGACCAATCAAGTTGGAATAATCCAGAGTTAAAAATACTTTAAAATGCATACAGACATTCAGAAAAAAAGCACAATATATATTAAGTTGAATGTCTAGTGTATATGGGCAACATCATTACGTATTTTCTATAGCAAAATTATATTTTCAAGATTGACGTAATTTTTATATGGACGAAAAACAAAAGTAAATTGGAAACAAAGAGAGAAAGCTGTTACATAATACTAATAACAATAAAAGGAGTATTAAGGCCTCTGCTTACACACACCCACGGGAACATAATACTGTGATGGAAACAACAGATGCCCCTCTGTCCCTTTGCCTCCATCTTTCTCACGTTAATTTAGGTTCAACGTTTTGGGTTAGGTTCAACAATCTTAAGTGTTTAAGAGTACAACTGTAATTCACATACTCAAGTCAAATACTGCGGGGACATATGTGATTAATTACGCAAAACATTTTTTTTTAGCTTTCCATGTTATAACATTATTTTCTCATCAAGAGGTTTCCCCATACCTGAAGAGGTTTTAGATGCCATCCATACATGCATGAGTATTTGAGTGATCTATCCCGGGCCCTATACTCAAAAAACTCTCCTTACATTTAGCTATAACATTCTGTGCAACGCTCACGTCACCCATGCTCCCACAACAATTCCCAATATGCAAAACATGATACAAAACTGTACACAGCAACTTGACAAAACTGGAAGCTACCTGATTTATTTAAGACTTCTTGGTTTCCTTTATTTTTAACTTATTTTGATGTGATTCAAGGAGATTATAAACTCATAAAAATAAAAACTCATAAATAAATACAATTTATTAAATACATTTAATACGTCTGCTTATATCAAACTTCATACAAGAAGTATGAAAAAAGTAAAAGGTAAAAGTATTTTTGGTATAACTTTCTGATTCTCCGCCCTAATGTATCTGCAGTCCCCTGATTACAGCTTGCATTAGCTGCTGGATATTTTCCTGAGTTGCGCTTATTGTCTCTTATAACACTACAAGCCATTAACCTTATTGTGGATTCAAAAGTATGTAGAGGATGTCTGTGTACTTTCTTAAAAACAATAATGAAATGGAAAATCATGCATTGCTCTTTTGAAGTGCTTTTGTGGACATTCAAAGGTGCATTAAACATTTGTGGATAGTTAAATCTCTCCTCAGTCACTCAGGGTGGGAAGACATTCTGTTCTGGGGAAAGCTCAAAGGTGCATTGTGTAAGATTTCTGGTGGAGGCTCTGCTACCTGCTTTTCTCCATGGAGATGTTATTGCTTTGTCTGAAATATTTCACAGTATGGGATTAAATCTGTCTGTTTTCTGACCGAAACGTTATTGTGCATCTTTAAATAAGCAAGGCTAATCATCTGCACACACGCACAAAAACGCGTTCATAAACAGGTACGTGGATGAAGAGTTGTGGGTTATGATTGAATTGTCATCCTTACATGTAATAATAATAGCAAATAGATTTTCTGAATGTATATAATTGTGTCTTACTTTTCATCCATGCTGGTGGAGTTCCGCGATGTATATGGTACGATCTCATTACTGGTCTCTTTATTGTCTGCGGCGCTGTTGGCCTTAATAAAAGGGTCTCTGGTGAGTGCAGCCTCTGGTTTATTGCTGTTGTGGAGGTTGAGAAGGTTCAGGTACGACTCTGCACTGTCCATTGGACCAGGAGAGACAGACCAAGATGAAATGGAGGAGATGAGAGGGTCCAGGGAGTTGCTGTAGTGATCCTTCAGGTTCAGCGATAATGGTTTGATCGATGCTGGCCCATCTAACACACATAAAATGCAGACACCAAAAGTCATTACAGAATTGCAGAGGACCTCACATATTTGCTATTGCCAACATTATTAGATCATTATGGGTCATATAAACAAAAAAGGGTCATACAAGATGTTTTCTTGTTTTCTCAAGTGTTTTTCGTGCACATCTAATAATATATATATATATTATATTTCTGCTTATTAAATTCTGAACTAAGGTAAATGTTCTATACACATTTTTGTTACATTTTTGTAAAAAAAACAAAAACAACAACAACTTGAATTTAGATAATAAAACCCATAAAAGACAGTGCTTATTGTAAATAAACAAACATGTAAAAAATATTATATTGAGGTATTTCACCTAATTTTTCCTTTCTCTAGTAAGAACAAAATGTCACTGCGGTTTTTCCATCAGTCCGTATTATCTTTATTATCATTGTGCATTTGCATTTATATTGTTGCTTCAGCCTTGAGCATGGCTTTAATTCTTTCCAGCACTCATCTAGACTTCCAGTCTATAGTTATTATGATAAAAGCTAAGTCAACTGCATCCACTTAAAGCACACAGATGTAACTCACCATGCTCAGTAGACTTATGTCCTGGTGGTGTGGGTGTTTTTGGTGACTGTGCTTCCAGTTCTTTGAGCTGCTGCACCAGGACAGTTATGTGCTGGAGCAGGTCTCTGTTCTGCAGCAGTAATTGGTGCACTCGGGCCTGTGCCTCCATACGAGCGGCTGTCTCTGCTGCCATTTGGTCTTTCAACAACTGCACCTGCACACAAACATCTCTTTATTAATACACTTAATAGATTTAGGGGTAATGCTTTATATATTCACTGAATGGATTTGGATTTTGAAAGTTAGAGCACGGCCACATAAACTACTGCACGTTCTTGAAAGTTGTCATACGTGTAGTGGGTATGCCCCCTAGTGGGTAAACATGTGTAGTTTATGCATATCAGGCCAGCTGTTATTTCCCCTTGAAGGCTGGTGCTGGGAATTCATACAAGGTGAGTGATATAACAATGAAGATATTTTCATTCTTACATGTGTCACATTCTTAATAATCTCGCAAAGGATTCAAGAATACATTGAATACATGTCTGATAACTACAATGTTGTACCTGTGCCACAGCCACTTGAGTGTGTTGCTGCTGCTGCTGTAGCTGTTGCTGTAAAAGCTGCAGATAGTGCTGTGATGCCAGAGGGGTGAGGGACGGAGAGCAAGGGCTGCTGGGAGTAACGCCTTGTGACGTTACAGTGAAGACAGAACCCCTGTCAAAATCCTTGTAACACAAACACAAACAACACTGTTAAATTTTTTTTGTTTGACTAGGGCCCTATTTCACAAAGCAGGTTGAACTAATTTCTGACTCAGAGTTATCATACTCAGAGCAACTCAGAGTTTCACATTTCAGAAAACAGGTTTGGAGTAGAGTTAGACCATTCAGGGTTTGTTCAATTTGAGTTTAGCTGGTTTAACTGACATAGTTTAGCTCAGTTTTTATCCCTAGAAACAACACCTACATTTTAAGCAGGGTCTGGACCATCTACTTAAAATGTTCGAATTTAAAGGTGTATGTAGTGGGTGTTTGACGTTGTTCTAGGCTTTGAAGCCAAACTATTGTAACACACTTGCAAAACCACAAGGGGGCACAGTAGTACACCATAATAAAGAGCAACACCAGCAAATATAATGAAATACATTTTCTAGTACAATTGTCCATCGTATTATTACAAGGGTCAAAGTTGAAACAGAAAATGGAATAGCAGACTTGAATCTCTAAATGTTTTTGAAACAGTTACCACACATACATTATGCTCTATTATCCAGTTTCCTAATATAGTGTCAAATCATGTAACCAAAAAATAAATTAGTGCAGTTTACATGTTTAGGTGAGACATTGCCCATTTCTGTGTGGCTCAGCTCCCTGTACCTCTCCATCCTCCCCTGTTTTCTCTCCTCTACCCTGGTCCCATGATTTTGCTTATCTCCTCTGAGCAGATGTTTCTGAACCCCCTTTATGGGATTATGGTTTTGGGGATTAGGTAACCCCCATAACAGCGAGTGGGAATATTTTAGTCTTCTCTTTTTACAAAGACTAAATATCTTTACCATAGATACCAGCAAAACCACCAAACAACTTGCCCATAACTTAATGTAGATATGTAGACCAAATTTCAAATGTATCTCCCTCTAATGCTACAGTTTAGAAAAGAAATCCCCAACCCTTCCTTCCTTAAGTATTTCATGTCAGCTGTGATTAGTCACTGTGCAGTGCACTCAAAGATTTGGCCAGGTACTGCAGTAGATGACAAAGCACTTCTGTAGTGCAATGAGCCATTTGGCAACAGTATGCCCGGCTAAGAGCATCAAAACACAGCTATGGCCAAAGCAATGAATTAAAGCAGGGCTAATGTCCTTTAGAAGGCAATGCAGAAAGATACAAATATTTTAAATGTAGGAAACCCGGATGCTATCCTTACATCTGGCATGAGACATAAAGTCAAATGCCTTCAACAATATTCCAAATTTTAAAAAAATCTAAAAAATATTGTAACTTTCCTAAAAACAGTACAAGTAACTTTAGTGCTTTTATCAAACCTACCTATTTTGCAAAAAAAAGCAAATGTGTTTATTGTCCAAAAGGTATTTTGTCTTACTATTATGGTCTGTCCAGGTCTGACCACACTAAGTTCTGCCAAGCTTTGCAGGATTTCACTGACTGCTTTCTCACTCTCCGAAGGTCCCTCTTCTTGTTTTCCTTCGATGTTACTCTTTTCCGTGTCCCCTTGGTCGGCTCCTGTCAGCTCATGACCTGATTGGGAACATTGCAGACAATAACAACATTGACAGCACTTTAAACACAAGAGGTGCAACGAAGAAGAACAAATAAACAAAGGCACCATGCATTTGGGAAACAACAACAGGAAATACAGACCCCACAATGTGCTATCACACATCTCCAACTCAGTGTGCAGCGACAAGAGACCATTAGGAGGACAAATTACACTCATTACTACTGACATTGCTGCAGACTTCAATTTGCTTTGTAGAGGGTAAACCTTCATCATTGAAAATGTAGCAAATGAAAAGCAAGCAAACTGGTCTAATTACTATAGATAAAAGAATGTCATATTTGCTTTTTCATAAATAAGATTGCTGAATATCTTACCTTCATTGTCATTGTGTCCGTCTGCCTGTCCGTCTGTATCCTGCTCAACATGCTCCAGACTGATTTTATGGCACACCTCAAAGGCCTGTCCCACAGTTCTGACTATACGCATGGCCTGGGTCTGTCAAATAAAGAATTATTACATTTTTATTTTACTATATCAAATAATAGCATACAACTAAATCCCAGTGGGTTTACCTTTTTCTTGGATTTAAAAACATTACACCTGAAAGAATTGTTGGAGCCATCTCTCGCAATGTAACTGAAAATCTTTAAGTCCTGAGAGTCATGAGACACATAGAAGATTCTGTAAAAACAAATGGGAAAACACTTTCATAGACCTGTCCATAAGTTACAGTATAACCCAGCACTGAGGCACACTGCAAGGGTCTAATAATTAATTATTTTACCATCTGTTTTAAAATTGCTTGGAAATGTTTCTAACTTATTGCTAGTTATTTATGCAACCATTTCAGTGCCATACATTTAAATGCACCTATTTTTAGAAGAGCAAATGGGATGTTAACTATATGCACATGCTACAGGCCATGGATTATTCATTACCAAATTTGCTGCGTGGCATGAATGAAGTCTCATAAGGTAAAATGAGGGAGCAAAGTTATAACTTCATCATTTATCTTTGACATTCCTTGAAAAGTGAGTTATATTTTTGCCAAGCTCTAATGCAAACTTGTACAATAGACTAATAAAGAAGCTAAAAGAACAGTTACCAGAGAAAGACACACATCTAACCTGTATATAGGGTCATGCATGATCAGCATCTTGCTCTCATCCCATGTCCATTCTTTCCTCTGTCAAGAAACAAAATAAAAACACAATACTTTAAAATGGTCATGAAGGTAATGTCTTGTAATTACCATGAGGTAACATACCTTTTGTTTCTTTCTGAGTACCACTTTGACTCCATCGACGGACACCACAATGCTTACTTTCTTCTTCTTGATATTCTTTGCCTTGAATTCGTACTATATAAAAAAAAAGTAGAAAACACATAACTTAGTTCAATACATGAAATTCATGAATCTGATGATACAAGGTCAGATTTCATGTAGTTCTTAACATGTAAAAATTTAAACAAATACAAAGATCAAATAGAAAAGGTAGCCTCGGGTGACTATTTTGCTGCTGTCTGCAATCTGCTGTACAACAGCTGTGTCCACACTCAGTGAGTAACACATTTCACTTCAGCCTAAGCACTCTGTCCTAAAACCTGTCCACTTGAATGACTGTAAAAGGAAAGCAGGAATATCATATGAGCAACCACTTAAATCAGCATAATTCCAAGTTAAAGAAAGCTAAAAATTAAGAGGTTAAATCCCTTGTCTTTAATGGTGGAAAGCACAGAGATTTGTTTCCTCCCTGGGACTGACTCAAGACCACATAAGTAATGAAGGCTGTACCAAGAAGTCATCTTGCTTAAAGATAAAAAAGTATCTGTTTAATCAAAACTGCCTACTCGCCTGAGAGGACTTGCTGTGGGTGTGACACACAATTTGGGAATAGATTTTAATTTAATTTAAATTTAATTTGAAATCAGCTGTTGCCACATTGCTCAGTGATTCTCTGCGTCAGTTGGTCTCTCCCTCTCTTGAAACCATAGTGACGAAAGTTTCAGGCTAATTATACAGAAGCCATTCCCATGAGAGCTGATTAAATGAGAACAGGTTTAGAAGTCTGCATAAAGACACGTTTAATGAACTTTAGAAAATTAAAACTGCAAAAATGACTGTACCAATGTGGACTTTTAGCCTTGTTGTGCAGCAGCTGTACACCGATTTTCACTTAGCCCAAGTCAAAACAGCTCTTCTATAATTCAGACTTCAATTCAGGCAAAGGTTTTAACAAATTCATGGAAGTGGCATCATTTTGTCAGTAATATTTATTTCTTTGTATTTTTCTGTATGTGTAGATACACTAAACATCATGTAATGTGTGACAGTTGTTAAGTTTAATTTAATTCATGAGTGTCAAATATATTTTTTAAAATAACTTATAGTGTGAGCAGTGGGATTTCACCGCTAAAGCCAGGTGTATCACTCTCAAAGAAATATGTTTGCGACACATTAATTTTGGTGTCTGGAGTTTGAACATGTGTGCGTAAGCCATTCCGACTCATCATTTTCACAGACAGCGTAACAAATTTCTCTCAGCCTTCTTCCTTCTTCCAGGCAATCCAATATGAATGTGGCTCACAGAATAACAATGTCTATTGCTCTCCGGTATAAGAGAAGGCACATTTAGCATTACAATTTATATTATGATAATTATTCACAATTATTGACACCCTGACAAAAAATTGTGAAATCCTTAATTCACTTTGAATTCCCACTGTTTAATAGGGTACCATTCCTCTGCTATGTAAGCTGGTTGAACTAAAGTAAATGTGAAATAAACAGCCAAACAAATAGCAAATGTATATGGTTTGCTGTGGTTTCTAGAGAAAGGAAAGCATTAATAAATGGGGATATGGCTTGTTATTTTGGTAGTAATAATATGTGAATGGTGCTATAACAGTGGAATATGGTGCAACAGTTTCACAGCAGCATGGTATAATCAATCTAAAGCTGCTCTGCTCAATATAATGACTGATTCATTTGTACCTCATTGGGACTGATAATCGAGACTTCTGAATCCACTCACTGTCAGTTTGGAATGAATAATGAACATAAAAACTATCATTTATGTTTTTTGAAATTTCATTTCATAAAAATCCTAAACAGTACATTGCTGTTGAATCAAATAGTCATAAATTAGCTTATGACTAACCACTTTTAGTAGGCAAATTATCAACCTAATAAAGTTAGTCAGTTCCAGTGCTTTTTTTTTTTTTAACCAGAACTGAACCTTCACACATTACATTAGGTAACTACCACGCCCATGCACAGTGCCAGTGCTCTTGTGACTGGTCCCTCTGGGCAAAAGAGGAGACACTAGCAGAGGAAGCTGCATGGTGACCTTTTACAATAAAAGATAGTTACGCTTGAGATTAACATTCATCAAATCCTGTGCACCTGCCAACCGCCAGTTGTTCTAGAATCCCGTAGCTTTGGAATTAAAAGGGGCCCACTCAATTCTTTGAAAAAGTAATAATGAAAATGTCCTAATTTTGGATTCCTTGTAACAGAATAACATTAAATAAGAGGAACCCCCAGTCTACTTGGGTGCTAAAAAGCTGAGGAATGCAGGGTGCTTTGTGGGTCACAGACACTCCCTGCTGCAGTACCATAGAATCTATACAACAGTTTACAATGGGTTCTATACACAGCAGCCTAGCAACCCTTTCAATACAATTCACAAGATTTAAGGACTTCGAAGGAATTTCACTAAATTTTTTTCCTGGTGACCTCACACGAAAATGACGGTTGAAAGTTCAGATAAAAAGGCAAACTGCTGTACAACTGTTGAAAACAGCAGATAAATTTTTTAAAAAATCAGATAAAAAGAGTTGTGGTGATAATGCAGACTAAGCAAGCATTTTCAGATCCAAAGCCAAAAAGCACACATTTGATGTTCAAAAAATTCCATTTCTGTGGTATACTGAAGACACTCACTGCCAGATCAGTCCTTGTTATCTTGGCCTACATCGTGAGGGGTATAATACTCCCTACAATGAAAGCATAGCTAGACTGAAATGTACAACACTATTATAACCTCTTCAGGGTTCATGTTTCTGGGTGCTGGGTCTGTAGTGATAGTAAATAAATGTCTCCTTTTAGAACTCCAACACCATGTCTCTTCTCTTCAACTCTCTTCACCTACAACTTATTCTACAGCATATGAGAGTGTAACAGTATAACATCTTTAACCATTGTACAACCAAGTAGAGTAAAACATACAAAGAGACTACCCTAATATTAATGTATTGCACATTATATTCACCTACAACAGACTTTAAAACTTAGTTTTTACTTTTATCTACTTTTAAAAATTCAATCCATATTATTTTCCAGGATCAGTTTTATTACTTTTATATCTTCAACTTTTATATAATCAATTTTATATGTTTTATATCTTTCAATGTTTCATGTTACGATTCACTGTATGACTGATGTGTGAGTGTTTGCATTCTGCATGTACTTGCAAATTAGTTCTCAACTGACTTACATGATGAAATATTGAATAAAATAAATATTAGATTTGACTTTCTGTACATGTGAACCAGTGACCCAATCAATCACAACCATTTGGCTTTGAAAAAATTATTGCCTCTATCAACTGTGTATGAGTGCTGAGTCACAACAAATGGCATTGTAAATCAGCCAGTGTTTGTTAAATAATTTAAACAATGTAAAAGGTTTAAATGAACAAATATACATGTGACCTTCTAATTATTGTGTATTCAATAAGAATGGCTATAATAATATATTTTAGCTGTAAACCCAATCCCAATACCCCAGATTGGTGTAGCTCTCTAGCGTTCAATATCTGAATCGATTAGTTTCAAAAAAGTTTTGAAAAAGTACCCTGCTGTCAATGAATGACACAGCACTGTTGCCATCTGCCAACAGCTGGCTCTTTGTGGGTAAAAGGCTCTTTTTTTCTCACACTGCATGTGTGTTTACAGCTTGGCGGACTGAATTGATCAGTTGTAGCATATGTTAATAAATCAAACCAAATGAACAAGAGAGAAACACAACTTGCCCTCTTTGAACCGCTGAGACGCATAATAAGCAGGTTGGTTATTGCAGTCTGTGTAGCTGCAAGGTCACCTCTGTGAACAGTGTGTTTGGTGAGAGAGTTAACTACACCTGAAAAGAGCGTGTCAGAGGAAGGAGTCCCAGTGCGCCCAAGTGCTCTTAAACATACCCCCCCTCCCCTCCACTCCTTCACACTGTGGATGGCCCCACGCCTGAGCGCCTCTCTGACGGGCACACAGAGAGGACAGCCAGTCCCCAGCTTCGACTGCACTTACTCCGGTTAGTCACATGGGACAAGGAGGAAATACAAAGGAACAACCTGAGCATACTAAATACTTTGGCTGTAGTCTTTAGTCTAGACTTGAAGCTAGAAGGTGCAAAAAGGAGAAAGAATAAAACCACTGAAATAAATATGTGTATTGGTGATTTCCATTTAAAATGGGTGGAGCAATAATAGCAGTGGCGATAAAACAAACCTGTTTAGCAAAATGCTAAATGCTCCAATAATTAAAAATATTACAGTTTTGTATTCATGCATAGTCATAATATCTTATCATGTAAAAATCACATTTTGTATTTATTTGACAGTCATTTATGATCTTATTTTTTGCATTTCCTTACTTGGAAATGACATTGCAGAGTTACCAGTGATAAGATATCTTATGAATAAATGGCCCAACGTTTCTATAAGTCAGTTTAAAACCATATTTTTGATCCAAGATAGGCCTATACTAGTCAGCTGATTTTATTTTTTAGTGTATAGGCTAGGCTCTCCTGGACAGGTGGATATTTTATTTTCAGCTGCCCAAAGAATATGCATAAGGTCTGCACAAAATCTACTACACAGGTCTAGGTTTGTGGTAAAATGGGCTGAGGGCGAGTTTTAGGTTAAATAATCCAAATCTGCCCTATATATTGACCCAAAAATATCAATAGACCTTTTTGCCTTTGGTTTCTCTGGATTGTATCGACATTGGCCATGAAAAATCTCATACCGGTTGATCTATAAACCAAACTCAACCCCAAAGCTAACAGCTAATATTTTATAAAACTAAAGCAATTTTGTAATGATAAAGATATTCAGCAACCTTGGACATTTCTCTAACACTACATCAAGAACCTTAAAAGTCAACATAAACAAAGGATGGGGAGACAAGGGATGCCATCTGTCAACCCAAAAGCCCCCAAAATCTCAATAGGCTGTAATTAAGAGGTCAACAAAGCTCTAATCTGACTGGTCTGAGGTAAGACTTCTATGAGAGCACAGTGAGATGAGCCAGGCTGATTGACTAGTGATTCAATGTCAAAGTCAAGAAGGGAAGAAATTG